TGGTTTACAACACAGCTTCCAACTCTCATTGCCTTTTCTCACAGTAGGAGGGATAGAAGAAACAAGCTACTAAATTTTGCAATTCAGAATTTTAATTAGGCCATGAGCAAATGTGAGTTTGTGCTAATGCACTCAGCTAGTCCTTTCTGACTAACAATGCTCAAGTAATACCTTAGAGGAAATACAACTCCTTAAATATTTAATATTAGCTCCCATCAATGAAGAAGGTTATACTTAAAAAAAAACAAAAAACAAACACAATAAGTAGCTAAGAGTTTGTTATTAAGACTTATTTTTCAACATAAAAGAGAGAAACTTTTGCATTAGGAAGATTCTTAACATGCTTGACCCTCACTATGAGGGGAGGTCATGGAGCAAGTATCACACTGAGTGTAATCACACAGCATGTGCTGGACAACTAGGGTACCAGGCCTAACCAGCACAGATTCATGAAAGGCAGGTTCTGCTTGGTCCATCTCATTTCCTTTTATGAACAGGTGACTTATCTAGTAGATGAGGGAAAGGCTGCAGATGTAGTCTACCTCGACTTCAGTAAAGCCTTTAACACTGTCTCCCACACTATTCTCCCAGAGAAGCTGGCAGCTCATAACTTAAACAAGAGTCTGGGTAAAAAAAAAAAAAATGGCTGGACAGTGTTGGTGAATGGAGTTAAATCCAGCTAGTAACCAGTCACAAGTGCTGTTCTCCAGGGGACAGTACTGGGGCTGGTTCTGTTTAATATCTTCATTGATGATGTGGGTGAAGAGACTGAGTACACCTCACCAAGTTTGCATATTACACCAAGTAGGAAGGAAGCATTGATCTGCCTGTAGGGAAGCCATACAGAAGGAATTGGAAAGACTGATGCCGCTAATATGAGCTCCAACAAAACCAAGTGCCAGGTCCTAGACTTTGGTCACAGCATTCTCCGTGCAACACTACAGGGTCAGGGCAGGAGAGTGGCTGGAAAGTTACACAGAAGTATCAGATGGCATGTATAGGAACTGATAGGTCATGGTCTGAACCAATGATTGAGCACCTGGTGAAGGGGCATGGCCAGCCCTGGGAGCACAGGTGCAAGCAATTCACCTGTGCAACCTTAACCCTATTTAAGGGCTGGCAGCCAAAAGGGAAGCATCTCTACTTGGAGATTGCCTTCTCTGAGAGTTCCCAGTGAGCCCAGATCCTTGGAAAAGGGTGAACTATTTCTTCTTTATTACTGGACTGCGACCACTGTCTTTCTTGAATGATCTGAAACTGGTTAAAGGCAACTGTACCTGCTGCCACCTATCTTTACAGGGTATCAGTTGACAGCAGGCCATTCTATGAAAACAGCCAGCTGAATGTGAGCCAGCAGTGTGACCACATGGCCAAGAAGGCCAAGGGCATCCCAGCTCATATCAGAAATAGCGCAGGGCCAGGAGGATACACAGCACTGGTGAGGCTGCAGCTTGAGTACTGCAATCAGTTTTGGGCACCCCACTATAAAAAGACATTGAGGCCCTGGAGTACATCCAGAGAAGGGCAAAGTAGGTGAAGGACCTGGATCAAAACTCTTACAGGGAGTGGCTAAAGAAAGTGGGCTTGCTTAGTCTGGAGAATAGGAGGCTCAGAGGAGACCTTATCACTCTCAAAAACTATCTGAAAGGAGGCTGTGGTGAGGCAGGGGCCAACCTCTTCTCCCATGTAACTAGTGACAGGGCCAGAGGGAATGTCCTCAATTCAGGTTAGATATTTGTAACGGATCAATGAAAAACACTTTCTGAATTTGTGTAGTATGCTTGGTATGTCTCACACACATGCAAGACAAGGTCATTGCCATGACAACAAATCAAAGCTGTGAAAGACAGAATCCTCCGAAATAACAGGACAGTCTTGTTTTATAAAAAAAAAAAAAAAGCCTATTTTCCTGCAAGGAAGTTTTTACTATATATTTATATATATGTATATGTGTATAATGTCTGAGAGAAGCTCAGCTGGTTTTTTTGTTAGATTTTTTCGGGGGGTTGTTTTGGTTTTTTTTTTGCTGTCTGCTTTTTGCCTGTTGGAGACTTCAACCCCTGGACAAGCACTCCCACTCATCCTTACTCCATCACTGATGTCAAACATCAACCATTCATGGCAATCAAAACTCAGGAAACTGCAATTAATGTAGCTTTTAAGTTCTTGTACTTCAATGTAAGTCACTTCTGCTGAAGTGTTACAGTGAAGCATCCTAAGGTAACAAAATTAGCTAACAGCTACCTCTCTGAATAAGTAGGAAAAATAAATTTAAGATTTACTTTAAACACAGCTTTTGCCTGCAACATTTGAAGCATCCTGAATGTAAAGACAGGGCCAACTGATGATGCTTCATAGGTCACACAACCTGTGAAATGAGCATTTCAAGCACTCACTGGCACTAAGCATTCTTATAATCTGTAAACTTTGTTTCTAGCAGCCTCTACTGACAAGAAATCACTTATGATCAAGTTAAGTTCTAGTCGAAAATAAGGCAGAGAATGGGGATTATTTGCTTATACTTGCATGATCTGTGGAATAATGGTTGCTTCATTACCATGAATACAGTTAATTTCCATCATGAAGTCAATATACTTCCTAGCTAGTGCCAGTAAATATAAGCCTACATTTTCATTTGACTACATAGGCAATAAAGTTTTAAACTTTTTTGGGTAAACAGTTATCTAGCTGATGCTTCACAGAAGGTAGTTTTAAATAATCTGCCATAATCCCAAATAAATCAACACATTTGCTTTTGGCAACAGAGCATAAAGAAGCAGCACATTCAACAGTTCTTTATTCATTTGGGTGTCTTGAATATAACAGAGGTAAGATGCCTCTAATTTTGGTTGGGATTTTTTGTTGTGTTTTGTTTTGTTTTTTAATAACAGCATTTCCCTACTTATAATGATATTTGTTGTTTTTTTCTTCTTTGTTTGTTTTAACAGTTGATGAAGTCTCCTTAATGAATGTGGGCTGCAGCACAGAGAATGACATACCAAAGACAATCTGGAAACCTTAACTAACTAAAATACCTAGGACTAAAATGAGCATTTACAAAGAGTAACAAACACCTTTCAAGACTCCATGCAGTAATTTCTCTAGTCAGTATTGCATTGTCATTCTGATTTGGCAGCCTTGTATTTAAGCAGACTAAAAAAAAAAAAAAAACCATGGTTGTTTCATAATTCAGCATCAATAAATCACTGAAACATGAGTGTCTGAAGATCGGTCAAAACCCTGAAAACCATTTCACATGACCCAATTAACCAAAGACACCCATATTCAATAAAGGTTATTAATTTCAGAATACACAAGCAGAATAATTTTGAGATGACTTCGTACCCAATTGATTCTTCATCATTAGAGCTGCATCTATCACAATCCCTTTGCCTTCTTCCTTTTGTAGAAGTCTCTCTGTTGCTGGCACTTAATCGCCACTGAAATAAAACAAACAAAAGTGGAACACTCCAACACACTTCAGTGTCACATTGGACATTACATAACAAAAATGGAACAAGGCCAGGCATTGAAACAGTGCAATTGATCAGACAGAGCAGAGAGACAAAGAATATGCACAATAATTTTGTAACATATGGGTTTGTTTACTATAAAGTATCTGTGTACTACTGGGCTTATTGGGAACTTGCTTCATTTTTCATCTAAAATAATACAGCACAATTCAATTTGTACTTAAGGTAGCACTGTCCCAAATGAAGGCTTAAATATTAGGTCTACTCCAGATAACCACAGTTATGTTAGATATCTTATTTAACTCCATGAATTTAAGCAATTTTCCATTCAAAAAATGCACAATTCTGAGAAACAACAGGAATCTGAAGGCTTCACAGTGGCACAGTATGGCAAAACTCACAAAACCAGTAATTCTTTTTTCCCTTTCAGTTCTCTTACCTTATAGAATGCAATTATATTTTTGCATTTAAATAAACAAAAGCCCCACCAAAACATACAGCTGTTTCTGCAATTCCAGAAATCTACCTCCTGTCACTACCTTCTACTCTCGCCTCACATTAAAACCAAACTGAGGCTTGAAAATGATGCCAGTCAGTCTGAAAACACATGAAGATATTTACAATGCTGTGTAAGTGTGCTGTGAAAGGGCATCTGAAAAATTCATGTCCACACCTTAAGAATTATCTCTTTTGCAAGAGAGTATGAAGACCAGGCAGTGTTTAAAAAGGCCTCAACTGCACAGAAAAATCTGTTATACATAGACAGGTAAGAAGAACAAGAAATGGAATGTAATATTCAAGAAGTAAGAAGCGATTCTTCAATACATCTAGTCCAATCATTGCTTTTATGGAGGCAGAGAGAAAGACAGAGTTCTACATGTATTAGCTCAGTAAAAGAGGTTGTTGCTTGTGACTGAAGGTTACATTACTTCCTGCTTCAAAGCAGGAATGCAACTGGATGTTCTACTTGCTTTACTAGTATTGAACATAATACAGCAAGTCTATATTGCAGACCAATCAAATGTCCAGGCCTACCATAAGAAATGGGTCACACTGTCAGCACTCTTGTAAGTCAAGAGAATCCCTAATTTCCCTCACTAGCCTTCTCTGTAGGAGAGCCTGTTTGACCAGTCCTATGGTTCTGAAAGCAACAAAATTGGCAATAGACTTAAAGCTGCACTGAAGCAGTAAAATACATTTCCAAGATTTGGCATTTTAAAAATATGTAGCATACAAGTCTGTTGGAAATTCCCTAAATATCTGCTTCTATACATGACTAAGATGACCAAGATAATCACTTATGCTAATGCTGTTTAAGAACATGTATAGTCTTTTATTCTTACTACTAAAATTAGTCTATTTTTAGAGTTAGTCTATTATTATTAGTTATTCTATGAAGCCATGCTGTATTTCACCTATTCCTAAGAGTTTCAGCTCTTAGATACAAAATAATGACCAAAATTCAATGTAAAAGTTACTTCCATAGCATTGTGAGAACAATCTGGATAAGCAACCTGATATTACCTACAAGTCCAGGAATCAAAAAACAATGAACTAAAGAAAAATTGCACATACACACATTTGCCTTTAAATTCCTGAGTTAAAAGTTAACTTCAGGACCTGAGATTACTATGGAAACCTGTCAAACAATGTCTGAGAACCAACTCTTCTTTTTAATGATTTAGGCTGGTGATACAGCACAGATTTCCCTTACTGTAGCTCTAATACTTGCAGACACATTTCAGATCTACACGCTTGACCTTCCCAGGAAACATGGGTCAGGTACTGATCACATAGGTACAAGGCAGCACTTGGTACTTAAAAGAGTAGAACAAAAAAACCCATACATCTCTCCTATGCACTTTACACTGCAGAGAACTTCTCTTTACCTCTCTTAAAGGGTAGTCCCAATGCTGAGAGCCTGGGAGCCTTGTCAAAGGGGACTGAACTTGAACATCCTCTGACTTGTTGTTTGGTTTCTTCTTTGGTATACGAAACTGAAAATAGAGGATGTTACACACATGATAAAACTAAATTATCCACTGGTGCTAGGAGCTGATATACTGCCAGATACAAAGTTTTTATAATCATCAGGTAAAATAACAAAGTTGCAAGCAAAGCACTGACCCGTTACTTTAACTTAGAAGTATTCTCATTGATGTTTCATCATAAATCGCTGTCATTCTATCAGGAGCTGGTTTTAACAGATGATCACCAAGAAAAAAAACTAATCTTATTTCATTAATTTCACAACAACCTCAATATGTGCCCAAAAGGTGAGAACAAAACCAATCTAATGTTACTCCATTTTCTTGGTTCCCTCTAACTTGCTAACGCTCTAATTTAATCTTCGCATCACAGCTTGAAGAGTGATCAAGAGACAACAAAACAGCTGAATTATGCTATGTTTGCCCTCAGAAAAGAAAGAACATCATTTATCCTGTCACAGTATTAATGTTTTAATATGATTATTTAGCAATAGCATTCTCCAGTGTCCTCAAAATAGTATTACCTGTTGTCATTACCAACCTCATGAAAATTAAGTATTGAAAATAAAGAATCATACAGTTGTTTAAGTTGGAAAGGACCTTTAAAGGTCATCTAGTCCAACAGCCCTGCAATGAACAGCTAGATCAGGTTGCTTAGAGCCCTTCCATCCTGACCTCAAATGTCTCCAGGGATGGGGCATTCACTGCCTCTCTGGGCTATTACTAATTCTCAGCAACTTGCCAATACAAGAAATAATAATAATAAAAAAAGAGGTAAGTTATTCTCAAGTTGATTAAACACATTAAACAAACTCAACTAAACATAAAAGCAGAAACCTAGACATTTCTCCAGGCATCTTGATGTGCAAAATCACAGGCTGCAAACAGGACTAGATTCAAACATATTAGATATGGAATGTAGTGCTGATATCTTTCGGTTAATTAAACACATCAGCCCCCCAGAAAAGCAAAAGCTACTCCACATGACAGCTACTGCAAAGTGCATTGTGAACTTTATTTGCAAGCTATCTGATATCCTACTTTGCAAGATGAAATTACAAGTCAGTATTCTAGAAAAGTGCAAGGCCAGCAACTTAGTTAACACAGAAGCTTCATTCATTAGCTCTGTATGCAGTCCTTCAGATCATAACTGAAGCATATTGCATTGCCATGAGATAATCCTTCCATTTTTCAACTTAAATCATGATTACTCTTAAATCATGATTACTTCTCTATCCTTCTTTGAATTATTTTTTTAATGAATTATCAGGTCTGAATTTCTATACAGTACCTCAACCTCCTTTTGACGTTCAAACACTAGTGCCAAATACAATATCAGATCATAGAATCACAAGGTTGGAAAGGACCTACAAGATCATCTAATCATAAAGGTAATAATATAGGCACACATAGGCAATGCTTTTAATAGAATTATCTACATTTTTTTTATTAAGAATGTCTGCAATAAGAGGTATTTTGTTGTATGGAGAAATGGCTTATAAACCTTAATTGGTCAGGATGTTTTTTTCAAATCTGTGCATTAGTGGTGAGGTATGAGTTTCTTTAAAAAAAAAAAAAAAAAAACCAACACAGAATCCACCAGGAAGGAAAGCAGCAGGCTATAAGATTTCTGACAGCACAGAACTGTATAAAATTTTAATATCTGTTTTGTGTTACAGAGCTTCAGACAACTTCTGAAATAATGTAACACCGAGAAAAGATAAGGTCAGACTCAGAGAACAGAAACAGATGATCCAACAGAGGGACAAAAAGCATAAGATACATTCATCAGCAAGATTTCCATCTCAGTGCACCATATCCTCAAAATGTTTGTACTCATTAAGATGTTGGTCAGCAATAGTTGCAATTAATGTACTGGACAAACACAGAGTAAAGAGGTAACCAAAAGAAGTCTGAATTTACATTAAGTGCAATGTATGCAAGCTGCCTCAGCTTTCCCTTAACAGAAAGCAAATGAATCAATGCATATATGCACTTTGTAGATTCCTCATCTAAATCAGTAGCATTTATCTGGAAGTTCACACCCATAAAAGCAGAAGTCAGAGAAGCATATGAACAATGTGCTGGAAACATCTTATTTCTAAAACACCAGACAGACCTTACCTGGATCAAACCAGCTGCTGTGCCTACAGTTTGTTTTCACTTCTGCCTCCATTGCTGGAAACTACAGCTAACCATGGATATTTTAAGAAAAAGGACACTAGCATATGGATTCTTACACACATCTCAGTAGATAACCAAAGATCAATCATTTACGCAGCTCATTCGAGTATTATTTTTAATATTAAAGTGTTGCTTAAGTCTTAATATGGTCCTGAAAAGTATTCAGTTTATGTTAAACATGAACCCTACATCGTAGTAACATGTTCAGCAGCACACACTGCTCTACTGACTGCTGCTAGCTTAAGCTAGTTCTCAAGAAAGCTGTTCCAACAAAGTGAAAACAGGACCCCTGGAGAATGACTGGTTATATAAGTACAGCCACAGCACCTCAGGATACCCACATCCTGAAAGCTACTTGTTATAAATTGTAAAAGACTTACACTGACATGACTTGAAGGTGATGGTCTTCCTTCCATGACTTTTTCCACTAGAAAAGAAAAACATATAATTACATAAACACATGCAAAATAAGCTTAGCAATTTACATTTCATTTATTTCTTCAGAAAATATAAGATCAAGATTGCAGCAGTAGGTGGTAAGCAAAAAACAGAAACACCCTTTTTCAGGCAGTTAGCACAACAAAAGCTCATGGATAGCCACAATGCAAGAGACGTGCTTCAGCAGGACTCTGCATTATCAGTGTGTGCGGATGGACTCGTTAACAAAGTTTTAACCAGAACTTGTCTTGAAGGAAGGTATTTACCCTGAAGCATATATAGAATTATGTTTCCTGCTTGCTAGAGTATAAGCAGGTCTTTGATTGTAAAAAGAGTCACAGAAAGATATTTGTAACACTGTAACACTTGTAATAATAAAGTTATGTAATTCAATCTGTAAACAGATAATCTTCTTCCTCACTGGAAGAACAGAGCTTCAGAATCACAGAATGGCCAGGGTTGGAAAGGACCTCAAGGATCATGAATCCCCAACCCCCCTGCCACATGCAGGGCCACCAACCTCCTCATTTAATGCTAGACCAGACTGCCCAGGGTCCCATCCAATCTGGCCTTGAACACCCCCAGGGATGGGGCATCCACAGCCTCTCTGGGCAGCCTGTTCCAACACCTCACCACTCTCTCTCAAAAGAATTTCCCTCTGACATCCAACCTAAATCTCCCCTCCCTCAACTTAAAACCCATTTCCCCTTGTCCTGCAATTATCAACCCTTTCAAAGAGTTGATTCCCCTCCCCTCTGTAGGCTCCCTTTAGGTACTGAAATGCTGCAATGAGGTCACCCCACAGCCTTCTTTTCTCCAGGCTGAACAAGCCCAGCTCCCTCAGCCTGTCTTCACAGGGGAGGTGCTCCAGTCCCCTGATCATCTTCATGGCTCTCCTCTGGACCCTCTCCAACAGCTCCCTGTCTTTTTTGTACTGGGGGCTCCACACTTGGACGCAGTACTCCAGATGGGGCCTCACAAGAGCAGAGTAGAGGGGAACAGTCACCTCTGTGTCCCTGCTAGCCCAGATGGAGCCCAGGAACCACAAGTGTTCCAAGCCATTTCTTCTGTTTACACATACTCTGCACGAGACGCAGAGAGGTCATAAGCCCTACAAACCTCACACCCAACTCAAGAAGCCTAGCTCACCACTTAAGCCTGAGTAGTTTTGTTTCGGTCAGCAATTCTTCAGCCCTAACTTGGACAAGAGCAGTACGCATAGGCTACATAAGAGGGCCCGGCTATCGCCCAGCCCAACGCCGTACCGACAGCTCCCGGCCGGCCGCCTGCGGGGCTGAAGAACGGCCCCTCACAAAGAACAGCAACGCCGCTGCCCGGCGCCGGCCGCCCTGCCCCGCCGTCCTCCCTCGCCGTTTCGTGATCGTTGAACGGGAAGGTGACGCAGACACCCACCCACCCACCGGGGCCGCGGCTCGCTGCCCGGTTCCGTTATATCCCTTCCGAACCCCCCCGAACCCCTTAACGGCTAAAGGGCTCCTGGAGCCCCGCCCGCAGAACAGCGCCAAGCGCACGCTGCAGCCCCTCCCCAGCACCAACCGCTGTGCCGCCGCCGTTGTTGTTGTTGTTATCGCTGCCGTTGCTGCCGTTCGCTAAGGCCCCGCCACCGCCCCCTGCGCAACTCCGCCGGTTACTTCCGGGTAGAGCCCCGCCCGAGCCGGGGGAACCGGCCCCTCCTGCTCAGCAACGGCTGCCCCAGCGCCAACCCCGCAGGCGGCCCCTCGCAGGCCTGCCCGCCCGCAGCAAGGCTCCGCCCTTGGCAGCTGTGGCAGCGCTCGGCTTTGACTTTCTCCCACAGCCCGATAGGGACCTAGAGGGGAAAGCGGGTGTGACTCTGAGCGAGTGGCTGCCGGCTCGCGTTCGGCGAATTGATGAGCCGCACGAACAGCGGGGCTAAAGGAAGCTAGTGCTAAAGGAGGGGAAATTGTGAGCTACGGAGAACGCCTTGTTGCTGTTTGGTTGTTTTGCAATAATTTCTAACCAAACGAAATGAAGTTTATATTGCACCTCGTCGACCCCATTTTACTACTGAGACTTTCACCTCCATTTCAGTCAGAATCCTGAAGGTGGATTCATAGTTTAATTACACCTCAGTTTGTACTGCCCCTCCCCTGTGTATCACATATATATTGCCAGAACTTCCAAGCCCTATATCATACCATATCATAGAATGGCCTGGGTTGAAAAGGACCACAATGATCATCTAGTTTCAACCCTCCTGCTATGTACAGGGTCACCAACCAGCAGACCAGGCTGCCCAGAGCCACATCCAGCCTGGCCTTGAATGCCTCCAAGGATGGGGCATCCATAGCCTCCTTTGGCAACCTGTTCCAGTGTGTCACCACCCTCTGTGTGAAAAACTTCCTCCTAATATCTAACCTAAACTTCCCCTGTCTCAGTTTAAGACCATTCCCCCTTGTCCTATCACTGTCCACCCTCATAAACAGTCATTCCACCTACTGTTTATATGCTCCCTTCAAGTACTGGAAGGCCACAATGAGGTCTCCCCAAGGCCTTCTCCAAGCTAAACAAGCTCAGTTCCCTCAACCTTTCCTCATAGGAGATGTTCTTCAGCCCTTTGATCATCTTAGTAGCCCTCCTCTGGACCCTCTCTAAGAGCTTCATATCCTCGTGCAGGGAACCCCAGGCCAGGATGCTTCAGATGGTGCCTCACAAGAGCCAAATAGAGGGGGACAATCACCTCCCCCTCCCTGCTGCCCACACTTTTTTGCTGAAACCTAAAAACTTCTGCAGCTGAGTAGGCTGGCTCCAGCTCAGCATGCAGCAGAGTAACAAGCTCAGCTGATGCAATGGTTTCCAGCTGGTGGCCTTGGAAACCCTTTCATATAAAGACAAAGATCTTTTTCCTTCTTCCTAAGGTGGCTTTAGAACTGTAAGTTTGATGTGTGGCTTTTTCTGTTTATTAACTGTTTTTTCTGCTTATTAACATAATACCTTTATATTGAGTAGTAGGAAGCTCTGCAAAGCTTGTTTTAACAATTGTTACATACAAAAGCAACTTAGCTTTTACTTCTGTTCAGGTGTAAAATACAAACACAAGATGTTAGATTGGAACTACCTGAAACACTAGAGATGACCTTAGCTGGCAGCAAATGATATATTTCATAGATATATTTAAGACTAATACATAGAAAGTAATGGAACCCGAACTAATGTGGAACTTGTTTTCTTTGCACAGAGAAATTGCCTACAGTCCCAGAGTCAGAAAGATTTTCATCTGTGACGATGGCAGACTTCACAGGAGAACATACGGTAGGTAATGTGGGGTCTTGCTAGAATAAACTATTAAATGGCAAATCTCCCAAAGAGTAATGCTTATGTGATTTGCAGTTCAGTGATGTTTATAATGTGCCAAGTGCTGTGTAAATGCTAACTAAGTTTACAGGTGAAATATGTTAAAATCACACAATCACCAAGGTTGGCAAAGATGTCCAAAATCATCCAGTCAGACCATCCATCTACCACAAATATTCACTGTTACACATGTCCCTCAGCACTGCGTGTAAGTGCTTCTTGAACACCTCCAGGGCCAGTGACTCAACCACCTCCCTGAGCAACCCATATCTTTCAGTATGAGCAGAAAAAAGAAAGGGAAGAAAGGGGAAAGGGTGTGTTTGTTATCTGTCTTTTTCTCCCTAACAGTAATTTTTAAAAAATGAAAACAGTGGTTGTAAAGTCAGCTAGAATACACACCCTTGAATACTGTGTTTGTATATAGAAATGTAGCACAAGAAGGAGTCAAAACTGATTTAGGATATAGACTTACAAAAAAGAAATACGTTATGCAACTGTATCTAAAATAATGACTGCTGATTTTTAATCCTACACGTGGCATTGCAGGTATGAAATCTGTCCTCTAAGCAAGTTTATGTTCTAAAGTGCTGTTCATCAATACTTATTCCTTGCTACTACTAGTTGGTACTAACTTGCTATTCATAACATGCTAGAAAACTGCAGCGTTTGTTGGATAGCATGATAGTCTGTGAGTAAACTGCACTTACCTTTTCCTGTTTGTTGTAGAATACTTTCTCTGCACTTTACTCAAAGGGAAAATGGGCACGCTGTTCCTAGCATAATTGTTGTCAACTGGTCAAACGATTTGAAAAAATCATATGATGGTCTCCATTTTCAGCTGTAGTAACCTTGTGGGAAAACTGAGGCATGGACTCCCTTCTCCTTATTCCTGCATCATACTAGTTAATTCTGTCATTTATTCTATAATTTCCACGTTGCAGGTGCTTACAAAGGAACGGTTAGTATCAGTGTATTGCTGTTGCGAATGGAATCTGTTTTTTTTTTTTTGAGTAGCTGGTTTACTACAGCCCACCAAAAGCAATGAATGCTTTGTGTGTAACCACATGTAAATATTGATTATGATACAGCATGCTTTATTTAATTGTTGTATGGTGGTCTATTATTACATTGACATAGTTTTCTTAATTTGCAGTGGTTACAAACAGGACATGAACTAAGCTTGAGGAAACTAGTAGAGGGTTCAGATTATCAAGAGGAACTGAAGTATGATTTTAATGAAAAAGGGGAACTGAGGCATCTGGATACAAATGAATCCTTTGTTTTCAATTACTACAAAAACACCCATGAGAAGAATCATGAACGCTATCAGCTTTTAGGACATATGATTACCCAGTATGTTTATGAGCTCCTGGAAAGAGTCTGTGCACTGCAGAAAGTTTATATTCCTTCTGATGCTACAGAGGATGAACCAAGAAGTTTCTTTTTTATGAGTGAGAAAGCACTAACAAGTTCTTCAAGCATAATTGTCCTTCTTCAGGACCGTGGGGTTTTTCGTGCTGGCCAGTGGGGGAAAAAGACAATCATCAGTGAAGGCCTGTACCATGGAACACAAATACCATTCATCAAAATGGCCCTTCAAAGCCACGGGGGAGTGATTGTACTGAATCCCAATGACAACCTCATTGACTTGAAGACTGAAAGGGAGAAGCTAAACTATTCTACCAGAGAAGAATCACTGACTTCTGTGCATTCCTGCCAGTGGATCCCCAAGCGGTGTAGCAGTAGCCCTGAGGAGCATACCATGTATGTATGGGATCATTTCATTTCTAAAAGTGCGGCCAAGAATGTGGCTTTCATTGCCCACGGCTATGGTGGTTTGGTGTTCATTGATCTGCTCGTGCAGAGAAAGCAGGAAGTGATGAATAAAGTGTTTTCTGTGGCATTCATTGATTCCATGCACAATGTACAGCATCAGGCTAGAAATGATCCACAAATACAATGGTGGATACAGAAATACTGCCGTGAATGGGTATCAAACAATAAGCCTTTAGGTAAAGCTGTAGGCTCTCTTGTCAAAGTGAACTGTCCAACTGTCTCTGCTGGAACTGAAAAGTATAGCTTAGCACCTTCATACTGCTTGCGTTCCATCTTTAAGTACCTGAACAGCACCCTGAAAGCCAAGACCACCACAGCCTTTACACGTTCACCTATTGCAACCCGAAGCAGCAAAAGTTAGTAAATAAATGTATACTGACTTGTGTTTGATAGTAATCTTTCTCTTTTCATAACCATCCCTGCAGCTAAGATCCTTTGCTATGGAGAGACTATGGTATTAAGTTTGAAGAGAAACACAAAAATACAAGTTAACCATGAGGAAAAAAATGCCTTCTTGAAAGTTTTAGGTCATATCCCTTCAGCTAGCTGTGAAATTTAAAGCTGCACAAAATAAAGATGTATGTGTATATCAACACTTGTCTGTATAATCTTTTTAATTGTATTTTCTGTGGTGACAGCTTTGTAATTGGACTAAATGATCAACAAAACTCTAATGTCTTAAGTGCATAAAAGGACAATTCTGGAATACACGAAGCATGCAAATTCGCAATTTTAAATCCAACTAAATCAGAGTGACTTGCTGGGGTTATAAAATATGCTAGCAACTTACAGTTATCAAACTGATAGAAGAGAATGATGTAGCTGTTTCCTCTCAGCTGTGCGGTTTGTTTTTTTTTTTTTTTAATAGAAGTGGGAAACAGTTTAAGTATCCATATGAAAGGCTTGCAATTTATTAAAGGAAAAGGCCAAACAGTCTTTAAAGCATATGTAAGAGAAACAGCTATTCTGAATTTCCAGTTTAATTGTGTGGGAATTAAAAGCGGCCTATGTCTGCAAAAGAGCTTTGAAGGCTGACAGTACCTTGCCCTATATCTTCAGATCCCATGTTATTAAGAAAAAAATAACTGCTGAACAGTAAGATTGGGTACAGTGTCAAATTCCCTTTATGTTATTATTATGTTCATCTATTTCTGATTTTAGTAATTTCTGATACTGTCTGAAAAAGCTTTCATACCATTACGTAGTAATGGGTAGAAATACAAATTCCATTGGAAAGATACAGTGAGGTAAGTACTTTCAGTAACAACTGCAGCTTTTTAAATACAGCTTGAATAATATCATATTTGAATGAAAGTGATACTGAATAGACATTAAATAGAGTACATTACTGTTTAGTTCACTTATGAACGTTGTGCTGATGCCATCATTATGTATACAAGCAGTATATCTGTTCTACAGCTGCTGGTCAGCATGCAACTCAAAGAACAGTCACTTGCATGAATTCTAGATGTTAACAAGTAGCTTTATTTGTGACAGAAGTACTAAGTGACAGAATGTCTGTCTTCAGAAAGAGACCAATATGATCCTTCACCAAAAATGCTCAAAGTGTCCCACGGCGTCAGCAGTGGATAAAAATGCTCAGAGAAAAAACATATCTAGAATATCTGCCATTCCCATAATTCTTTAACTCAGGTCAGCCCACTAAATTCCTTGGTAAAGAAGGTCATATTTAGGAATGTTACTGGGATCAATAGGACTTCTCACAATAAGCTTCCCACGCATGGCACCACGGTAAATCACTTCAATCAGATCTATGAAGTCTTGCTTTGTTTTGAAGCTTCCTACAAATTTGGTGTGATCTGGAGACCTAAGGATAATCATAAAATAAAAGTAGTATTGTAATATTGAAACATTCAAAACAAAAACGTAGACAAGAAAAGTTGTATAATGAAATTAAGCATTTTGATTTGATGATTCTGAAAGAACCATATCAATGATGGCATAACCAAGTCAGGAATATACTATGACTTGATATCCAAGTCCAAGAAGGTACAGTGTTGTGTCTAAGGTTTTAATCATACTCTGTTTTGCAGAGTCAAGCATATTTCACAGTACCTACTTACAACGTCAGAGTGTTTCAAACTACTTTTTAACGCTATATATACTTCTGCTTTCTCACATAGTTATCAATGCAGATTCTGTCAACAGCAACACAGTTTTCAAGCATTACCTGCTATAGACAAGGTAACATAGAGACTGTTAAATTACCATAAATGTAACAGATTGTCATAAAACTATGACACAGACAATGTCAGGTGGGATGACATACCCATAATCAACCTTCATGTGCTGTCCATTGAAGAAAAATACAGTGGATGGAATATAGCTGATGTCAAAATACTGGGTGTACACAGGAACCTTGTTCACATCCACCAGGTAGATGACTGCCATCTTACTTAGGTCATGAGCTGTCTTGGCAAGCTGACAAGAATAAGGCAGACAGGGAGAAAATGGATTGAGGCAGAAGTGGAAAAAAAAAAAGGCAGCAAGCTTTATGAAGCCCATCTCCATTACATCCTATCAGTTTAAGCAGGGCTGGAATGTCCCATCTACCTCTAGCACTGTGTACACACACAGCATGCTTAAGTGTCAAACTGTCGAGGGTATGATTTCATGTTACATTTAAGTGTCAGCTGCAAACACTTACCACCATCTTTATCAGGCACCCTATCACCCAAACACAACCTATGGCATTGCCCTGTGAACAACAGGTATATCTGGAATGTTCATTTATATAGGAGGGGAAAAAAAAAAAAAAAGAAAAAAAAAAAAAGAAGCTCTTACAATATCATCGAGCTGCAGACAGACAGCATCGTTATCTCTTCCGAACCGAAGGACCAAAACCTTCTCTGCCACGCTTTTTATGGCCTGATCCACCTCCTTCTTACAGCTCAG